ATAGATAGATAGATAGATAGATAGATAGCTAGATAGATAGATAGATAGATAGATAAATAGGTAGGTAGATAGATAGATAGATAAATAGATAGACAGATAGATAGACAGACAGATAGATAGATAGATAGATAGCTGCCTTCTGGAAAGGATTCCGTATTGGGATGAGGGTCACTGGCCGGGTGGGCTGAATTCGACTTCGATCCCCGTGGAGTGGACAACGACATGCGTTTAGACCTGAGCACGCTTCCCAACCGACGGTTTGCCTGAGCACCCTGGCGACACAGGCTGCTTTTCTTATTGATGCTGCGGCTGCTGCTGCTGCCAGCTGCAGCAGTGGGCAGCGAGGAGGAGCCGAGCCACCAATACAGGAAGAGGAGGAGGACGAGAAGTGTGAGGACTGCAACGAGTATAGGACCACGACGCTGATGATGATGAGGAGGAGGAGGAGGACCCACGCACTGGCCTTGCGCCGGGCTTTAAATGTTGCTGCCTGTGCAGACATGCGTTCACGGAATGGTGTGGGCCATGAGTGGTTGTCCTCCAATGCATCAGGAGCCCGGACAATTCGGAACATCACAAAATCCCAGCAATAAATGTTGTTGTCAGGCTTCCAGCATCTGCATATGTATACGTGAGCGGGAGGACGAGGATGAGGCTCGGCATGAGCCACAGTTTAGAAGACTTCGCCATTTCTGCAAGCATCAGGTTGCGGAGGATCCCTCTGGACGTCCTGCCAAGAGGCTGATTTGTAGCTTTGCTACCGGTGTGTTGGAAGCAGGTTGCACAGTTGTAGTAATTAGTTACATGGCTTGAACGTGAAACTTAGAGTTTACGAACGCAACGACATGCAACGACCGTCGCTGACGGCATTGGGCCTGAGTCTACAGTTTCGAAGACTCGAGGCATAGGGGCGCTGTCGGAGCAGCTCTCAGCGAGCTGAGCTGCGAAAATCCAAACAGCCGATTTTGAGCACAGCCTGGTTGCCACCATAGTTCTCAGGTCCACGGTCAGTGCGCCTGCGGCACCTGCTGTTGCGATGTGCAGAGCCTGGAAAGATGCTTCCAGAAGACCCAATGGCTTGGAACCTAGCTCAAATAAATTGGAGCGGGGTCTAGCCCATTTGGGATTCGATCGTGCAGGCCCGACGTGCTCGGGCAAAGACGCAGCAGAATCGGACCCCCGCTGAAGCAGAGGTTGAACTGGTGGCCGAAGCCCCTGCAAAAGCCGCTCTTGTGTTGCACATGCAGTAGAAAGCGAAGATCTGGATGTACCAGGTGTGACGATAGTTGATGCAAGGCAGTCCCCGCATTTGTCATGCCTGCAGCTTCTGTTCTCAGGAGGCCAAATATCACCTCGTAGACTCGCAGTGACTCGCAGACTCGTAGATGTTATGATAGACCACGAGGTTTTGGTGTAGGGCTGCAGGCTGGGCTGTGGGATGCAGTCTGTGACGCGATGTGCCGCCTGTTGTGACGAGGACCAGGCCTTGGATGCCTTGAGCGAAATTCTCGCAGAGAGAAGCGGACTGAGACTTGGATCCGAGCCCGAGCGGGAACGAGAGAGTGGATACACTGCGCTGCACTACGCCGCGCAGTACGGGATGCTCCGCTTGGCAGCCGCTCTCCTCGACGCCGGGGCGCCAATGAACAGTCAAACGAAGGATCTTTTTTTACAAAATGTCGTCGTTCAAGCTGGTGGTCAGACACCCTTGCATCTGGCGGCTCGTTCTGGAGAGGAGGAGGTGGTGAAACTTCTCATGTCAAGGAGAGCAGATGTTTCTGCAACAGACGTAGATGGTTTTGCAGCCGTGGAGATCGCGAGGCTACATAATCGCAACAGCATTTGTGAGATCTTGGGCGTGAGCCCTTGTCTGTTAGACAAGGAGGATCTTGGTAATCGGGCTGCAAGGGCTGTAGAAGCTGGAAAGTTTCGGGCTGCCCAGCACTTGGAAGTTCCTGCCAATCTGCGAGAAGTTTACACGCTCAAAGCAGTTTGGTCACCGCTGGAGTGTGACTACGTTCTAGATGCTGTTAAAGCTGCTGTGAAGGCATCGTCCGGATGGACAACCGAAAGGCATGCAGCCTACGCCACCACGGACATGCCTTGCAGTCTCATCCCTGAGATCGACACCTGGGTCAGAAGGTCTTTAGCAGAAAGGGTGCTGCCGGAGCTTGCCAAGCGCCATGGCTGGGGTGATGGGTCCGGATCATGTCTGTACTTCAGAGATCTCTTCTTCGTGCAGTACTCTGTGCAAGGTCAAGCGGGCTTGGCTTTACATCGTGATGGTTCGATTATATCCTTCAACATATTGCTGAACAGTGCACAAGATTTTGAAGGTGGTGGCACCTACGTGGAAGCGGATGAATGTGCCTACCAAATCATGCAGGGGGATTGTTTTGTACACAGTGGAAAGCTTCGTCACGGAGGCATCTCTCGCACCTGGTGAAGTGTAGCCCTAGACACAGCAGTGGCTGACGCTGAAGGTTTAGCATGCTACTGGTCGGTAGCACAGAGGTGCTGACATGCAGGAAGCTACAGGACTCGACTAGGTTTGTGAACTCAGGGCATGTTTTATCTTGGGGCAGGCCAGCCTATCACCAAAGGCGAGCGAACCTTGGCGAAATGAAGTTTTCAGCAACCACACTTTAACTCCGTTTGGATGTTATGGAGTCAGTTTTGAAGTGGCACTGCTTCGAGCCACGACAAAAGAAGTCATGTCTAGACCTGTCCCCATGAGCGACTATAGAATATGAAGCGTCATCTGAGCAAACCTGCATCTTTGGCTGTAGCAGTGTAAGTGAGCTCTTCCACTCCACCGGTGCCGGACTTAGAGTGTTGTGATGTCAAGGGTAAACTGCAGCTCGAGGATATATCATTGTGGGCTTCGTCGACCTGGACGAGGAGAGCCACGGTTGACTTGACCGACACCATATCCGCCTGAGTTTCACAGAACGTATGTTTCGATCTGCGGACGAAAATTGGGCTGCCGTGCACCTGACGGCAGCTCGCACCTGGCCCTGCTACACCGAGGCCGTTCTTCGCAGCCTTCTGGCCATGGACACGGATGTGAATGGAGCTGACCCAGATGCACAGAGGTTCGCCCCGGTGTTTGCACGATGAATGTCTCAAAGTACATCGAATGTCTCAAAGTACATGCTGCGCCTCGGAACTTTCAATAAAAGCCGGTGGCCCAGCTTGCCGCTCTCGGTAGACCCCATGGTAGTGCGCACGAGTTCCGGCCATATGCATCAAGTATTGAAGACCCAACCGGTATCTTTGCCGGAAGTCCTCAAGATCCGCAAGTTTTCTGCGGCCAGATTCTGCTAACTCGGAAGTCGTGGAACCTTACACATATTCTTCGGTGCTGGACCCAACCCAGTGTCACCTGTCTGGCACCAATCAACACAACAGCTTCATTTTCGACAGATGACTTTCCCCTCCCGCACATGTTTTCCTGTTATGCTGCTCCAACAGCCTGCTGGTCAGCTCTACAGTCTCTAGAGGGCGAGCAGGCAGCACTCAGATTTGCAACAACCCAACCTCCAACACTAACTAACAGAGCCAATGTGACTGCACGCCTCCGTCGCTGTGCCCTCTTCCAGCATCTGCTGTTCGCCTCGCTGGGGCATGCTGTCTGCATCTCGTTGCAGGAGTTCTGCTTTCCGGAAACTTTGTCAACAGCGGTCAGAGTGCTCTTCAGCAGACAATGCCGGGCAGCTGTGTGGTGATTTGGGCTGGGCATGGGACTCAAAATGGCATGGTGCATTCAGTTTGGCAACCATGGTTCCGTAATGCCTGCAGAACAAGGTGTCAAGGGGCCAGTGTGAGCCTGCGTTTGAGCAGGCAGCGTGCAGCTGACGCGTTTGGAATGGGCCCACGGGATGAGTTGAGTCACCATCAAACGACCGACAACCCCGCCGCCAGGTTCACGCTTCGCAAGGCCGAGTTCAGCGACGTCGTCGTGCTCGGACGTTTCGCTTTGCTCTCTTTGCCGTGCTGTGACGTGATGCCGCTCTGTTCCTTGCGCTTTCTCAATCTCTGCCCAGGTGGTGACGACGTCTCGGGGCGTTCACTTGATCCAGAGGATTGCTTAAAAGGGTCTGCCAGGGCCATGCAACGGAGTAACTAATGTCACTAGGACCAGAGGCTTTAGTCGTGAGCGTTGGATGCGAGGGCATTCGTACGGCACCGCAAGGATACGTTGTCATATGAACCTAAGGCCACAAAATGACGTCTCTTGCCTCATTGCAAGATTCTGACACAGCCCACATGACTGTGCAAGTCAGCCTTGCAAGCTGCCCTTCTTGTTACTTCCCGGTATCTGCTCGTAAGCTTGACCACTTCGCAGTCGCTTTCAACATAAATTTAATAAATGTTTGCCTTGTCACTGCATGCTACATTCGTTGATTCATGCTTTAATCCGCTCCTTCTGTTGCCGGTCAGTCCCTGCATGTTGCACTTCTACGTGCCGAGAACGTCATGAAGCTAGAGCTGGCGAAGGCAAAAGTTTCACAAGACGTATCACGAATGGCTGAGGACATGCAGCTTTGGCTCCGTCGGCCATGTGCACTCCATGCATTGACAACTGCCGTGTGCACGTGCCAAGCTATTGTCAGCCTGGTTGATTCTGTCATAACGGTGCAGTTGCTCAGCTTTGAAGTTTGACAAATGAAAGCCATAAATGGTAAATCGCCCATCACTCGCAACTTGACGCCTGACGCCCGGTTCACGACATTGGTGTGACAAGTGTGCGATGACGCATTGTAGGCTTGATTGGTTTGGAAATTTGCTTGTGAGTATGAATGCGATGCTCATACTTTACAGCCATGGACCGGTTCACCTGATTGATTTGTTGTTCCCGTTGTGAACGGCGAGATTGAATGACCTCAAGATGTGTGAGGCCCGTGTTCACCCGGCATCGGGATCGACGGGCTGCAAGGAAGCTTGTTCTGCGCCCAGAGGTTTTTTGCAAGACTCGGACACGCTTGTCTGCAATCGAAAGAGTCTTTCAGCCAAGGGTGGTGGGCTGCATGGCGACGTCCCGACGGCTAGTCCTCAAGGGTTGGTGCAGCGTTTCGACGGCCTTTGCCAGGTGGATCGTCTGCTCGACGTGGAGGGGGGTCGAAAAGAGGCTTGGAAGTGACGACTGGCTCGAGACGATCACGCATGCTCGAGTCTGAGGTCTCGCTGGAGATGGCCCCTCTGCCGCCCCAATGGGTCGAGGCAGCCGAACAGGCGAACACCCGAGCACCATCTCCTTCTCTGTTTGAGCTTCGGCATGATCTCTGGGAGGCGAGAGAGGACATCAAGACAATCAAAGACAAGATGGTGCAGCTTGAGAAAGCGCAGTCAAAGCCACACGGCTCAGCCGGCTCAGCCCGGCGGAATTTCCGTGTACGCATGTTGACCGAGGCGCCTTATTCGAGTATTCTCAGACGACAAAACTCCCGACAGAGAGGCAGAGTTGCATCTACAGGCCTCAGGTGATGGAGAGCTCATTGCTTGTCTCACGAGGTCGAACGAATATCCAACGAAGTGTCAAATCTTGCCGCTGTCAGAGATTAATTCTGGCACGTCTATGCAGGCTGTGTGTATGCACAGCGCGAGTTGGTATGGCCTGGGCACTCATGTTCTGAGGTGAAGAGATGCGAGAATTCAATCCACCAGGCTCTGGTTGGGTCTTTGTCATCAGGGAGACGTCGAAGTCGATCCGTCCACAGGTCAAGACCCGTGGAACTGCTCTTGCCTCCGAGAAGGATAGAGAGCCTGCTGCTCAAATATGATTGGTGGAAGTCCGTTTGGAAGGGTGGCTCGTATGCCCAGATTCATCCGAGGTTGAGGCAGAACATGCAGCGGAATCTCGCTACTCAGTGCTTGCCTTGCGGCTTCATGACACCGGTGGGGCAGGAAAGCGCAGAGCTTCAAAAGCGCGTGATTTGCTTCCAAGGCTTCAACAGCTCTCGCAGCATTTTCGGCAGTCCCAGAAGGAAGTCCACATGAGTCATGGTCAGGCTTCGGAGCAACCCTCTGGACGTTCACTGCAGGATTACCTGAATGACATCAGAAACCGCCAGAAGGGAGGCCTGATAGACGATGTTGCGAAAGGAAGCATGCGCTGGGCTTAGTGACTTAGTGTCTTCTGAGCCGTCTGTTTTGTGCAAGTCCTAGGCCCGACGCCGACATAGGTTTCACCGATGGTCAGCTCCAGGAAATCCCTTCTCCAAGATTTTAGGGCCTTTATGTTTTTGAGATCTTCTATCTCTTTGTGCCTTGCTAGGACTTGCAAGAGATGGAGCAAAGCACGGCCCCGAGATGACCTGTCAGACTTTCTCCTCGCTCACGTGAGCTTGCAGGTGCGACCGTGAGGAATGAAGAAATCAACAAAATCGCGGCCTCCATCACGGATCTGCATACAATTTTCAAGGAGCAGTTTTCAGAGGCGATTGCGTGGTCTGGCCCACGTTCTCCTGCCAGGAGCTTGCGGTGCTGGTCATAGACCAGGGATCCATCCTTGACCGCATTGACTACAACATTGAGCAGGCTTTCCACGGGCAGCGGTGGTTGTATCTTGATGCTGCATCTTATGCGACGCGATGCGACGCGGAGGGGCCCCTGCCAGGTGGTCCACCAGAGTGCCGAAGCAAACAAGCAGCTTCGAAAGGTGGCCCCGAGATTTGCACGGGGAGACCTTGCCTCATTTGTCTCCTGGGAAGGCAGAAGAAAGCCAAAAAAGCAATCGAGTGCGCTGTCATGTTTGCCTGAGACAAAAGAGAAGCCCCCAGCTCTGCTCAGAATGTTTGCTAAGATGCCCACCTTTCTTCAGGCCATGAACTGCATCTACTTCCTGGTCATTGTCAATCTTGTCCTGGCCTTGGGAAGACCAGCAGCTTATCATGCCAAGCACAATTTCAGCACAATTGTAGTGAGCGTCGATGCCACTTCGAAAAGGTCTTGATCATTTTGCTGATTCTGAAGGCCAGACACTAGGCTCGGACAGTTTGATTCTTTGCTCCATTTGCTGATTGCTAGGTTCTGCATGCAGACATGGCTCGCTTTTGACGGGACGTAGAGAGGTGTGCGTTCATGCCCGACCTGCCGCCGCGCCTGAAAGCCGTCGCCTGTGTACAGAACGCTGGAACGAACTTGGGCAGCTAAAGTTAAAGTTCCAGTGCACAGACAATTCTCAACGCCCGAGTTCGGCACCGTTGCAGCAGCGACATCCGGCAAACGGCAGAAGCTCGCGGTGAAAAAGCGTAGGCCCAGGCACCTCCAGTGCGCTGTGAAAGCGCTATTCGAAGGCGATCAGCATCTGATTGAAGAGAATTGTGGTTCAAGCCCGCCAGACTGTCAACGTCATTTCAGTTTTAGATCACTTTCGGGACGATGCTCGCTGACCTAGAATCTACATAATCTGTGCTCTCTCCTTAGCCTCAGCATAAACAAGCCTACACCGGTACAGACACAGAGCCTCGTTTGAAGAAGCTTTCTGGTCAACGCTGTGCAGCATGGGCAAGGACGGACTTCATCTTTCGTTCTGAGTGCAGGCTTCATTTTCAAGTTGATTTCTTGCATGGATCGAGATTTGGATGAGGGATATTGCAATTGCGGTTTTTTGCACACCCTGCTCCGAACGAACATGACGATACATGACGAAACCCAGCATATTTCGGTGTTTAATCAGGGTTTCGAGCTGGGCTGTGGGCCTGCAGGGCACCATTCACTTAGAGCCTGAGATGTTAAGCGGTCTGTGTTTGAAATTTACAGTTTGCTTAGGTGATGTTGCTGCTTCTGTTTGCTTATGACTACGTCTCTGTGAGTCTTGCTGGCAGTCATGTCGTCTAGGATTGGAAAGACGGTTGCTTAGACACGAAGGTGACTTATGAACTGAAGAAACGGCAAACAAAAAGGTAACTAAAGGGTAAATAAAAGCTGAAGCCTAGGATGAGGTAAAGGTAAATAAAAGGTAAATAAGATATAAACAAACGCTAAATACCGCCCCGGGTGGCCGCTCCCAGCGGGACGGCTGCTCAGAGGGAGGCCCCCCGCCGACCCCCATTCCAGCAGATTCCCTGTCTGTTCAGCTTTGGGATTAGCTTTTCCTTGCTCCAGGGGTTCCTCTGGTAGTCCCAATTGTTAGCTTTTGTTTAGCTTGTTATTTGTATTTGTATTTTTGTCAGCTTTTTTTTTTCAGCTTTGTTTTTTCTTATTCTTTTAGCTTTTTCTTGCATTTTTTAGCTATTTCCTGGGGAAAAGCAAGTTTTCCCTTCCCCACCAGCCCCCCGCCCCCCCGTTCCGTAGACATCTAGAAAAGGTGGCGGGAAAGCCAGCAAAAACCCACTACAGGGGCTGCAAAGTTGACAAAAAGGTAGCGGCAATGGTAAATTTCTGCACTGTTTTGCAGCCGGCGTAGAAAAGCTGAACAAGAGCCGACGTTTGGTGAACCTAGAACCCGAGGACCCAGGCCCTAGGACCGAGCCTTTATATCATTATCAGGCTTTTGTTTTAGCTTTGTATTCAGATTTGTTAGCTTTTGTGTAGCTTTTTTTTTCACCTTTTATTCTACTTTTTTCAAACCAAGGATTCCAGGATCTCTAAGGGAACCAACGTTCCAAGTCTGGGGTTGGCAAGCCGACGAGTGAAGATATTCTGGTCGGATCCTTCGAGAGGCCCGACGATGTCGCTCGTCAAGTCGCAGGAGGTTACAACAAAGCAGCACCAAAACAGATCACAACATCGGGGTTCTTTGCCAACACGCATTGAATAAATGAGTACAGTGAGTAAAACGTGCCGAAGCAGCAGCGTCTGACAGGTTTCATTAGGTTATGCAGTAAAATGTTGCGAGGCTTCCACAACCGATACCAAGATGCAGTGTCCACGCTCATGACTGGAATTTTGTTGATGTGTAGTCGGTGGTGCAAATCAGCAGAATCACACACGGCGAGTAATGTGCACTTTCACACCATGATTAAGCTAACAGTAAACTCTAGACGAGGTCTGTGCAGGTGTGCGGCAAGCTGTGTGGGGATTCCGCACGAGCACATCTAGGCATGTGTCGTGGCAACGTCGGTCGGAACTCCACAACTTCGTGTGACTTCACTCGCTCCTTCCTTTCTGAAAACAGTTGCTCTGAGGTAGAGCTTTGCGAAAAGAAGTTGCCTCAGGGTGCGCACAATTGAGGAGCCCTGATTGACTTAGATCTGGCTTGAAGTGAGGAAACACAGAAAACAGTGCAGTGTTTTCAGAGTCCTTCACTTCGAGCGTGTTCATAATGTGTCTTGACTTGTACATCTTATGTGCTTATGTGTTGAGCAGTGGCACCTCCATGCATCATCGGGGCCTTCCCTCCTTCAGGTACGAGATGTGCACTTTGGCGGAGCACATAGCTCTAGTAATGGTTAGAGATATTCGCGGTCGAAACAGGTATCGACGGTCGTGCCCTGATGCCCCTGGCGCTTAATCATCCGGCAAACTCTTCTCCGCCTCGAAATGTCGCGTCATCGGCCCTTTCGAACTGCGTGTGCTGCTGCGACTTCGGTCTGCATTTTTGGCGTTTCCTGTGCCGTGCCACTGTCTCTACATGAAGTTGTAATGATGCGGCGACTGCGTGGAACTCTCAGTTGGAAAGGCGTCGGGGAGTGAATGCCCTGTAATTGCGGGCCACTTCTTCACGCATGGTTCAATTGGATCTCCTGAGATGCGAACTTTGACCTAGCTAGCTTGTCATCCTCAGGAATCCTCAGGTGAGAAACAAGCTGTGGTCAGAACCACGGGTGCACCTGATGGGCAATTCTACTGATTTCTGTTGGTTTCCGTGTTTTCCTCTTACTGTTCCTTTCTGATTTAATCTGGTTCAACACAAGATACGTCCTACCTTCGTGTTGATTTTTAGCGCATGTCCGTTGGTTGCAAAACGCAAAGGGGATTTTCGCTGATGTTTACCGCATTAGAGGCAAACCTGTTTCTAGAATGTAGCATGATTGAGAAAGACTTTCCCGAGTTTGTCAGAGCTCGGCAGCGATCTGTCTTTTGTTCCGTTGCATAATTTCTTCGCGACACTGCGTCTTCAGTTTTCTGGCCGGCCGGTTTGGGGTTATCGTTTAGGGAAGCAGTGCTTTAAGCACAGACCGACTGTTTTGTGCAGCACCTGCTCTCTGGCTTGCAGAAAGCTGGATACGTGGACCCGGATGACGAGCGCATTCAGAAGGCAGTCTTCAAAGCTGCGGCATCAGAGCTTGCTTCCTCTTTCAGAAGGGACAGCGGCAGCTCATTGAAGAGTCTGCCAAATGGCCGTGGCCCCAGGGCTTCTATGTCACACTTGCACTTCCAGGCCCTCGCCAGAGTCTCAGGAAAGGGCCAGGTCACAAGGAACGCCAACAAGAGCGGCTGACACCTGAGACTGAAAGCCAGATCTCCGGGCAAGAATGGATGACGATAGCTGGTGCCTTCAGGGAAGTCCGTAAAGCAATGAAGAACCGAGCTAAGCAGCCCCAGGAGAAGGCCGCGTGCTCTTGCGACTGTTTTTCTTTGCATGGTGCGGCATCTGCGGTCTCTTCGTGCACCAGGCCTCTTGGAAGCAGCAGGCTGCTGGCTGGTTCTTCATCTTGTTCATGTGTGGCATAGGCCTGTCTGATTTGCCGGCTTGCGCTGTGAAGTTGGTGTTTCAGAGCTTGGTGGCGCTGCGCATGCAAATGTCAGCGTACGGCGGAGGCTTCTTTTCGTTCCTGTTCTCAATCTCCGACATGATCATTGGCACTAGCCTTGCTTGAACGAGTGCAGTGCTGCGAGCTAAAGCAGATTACTTGTATCATCGCAGCTTACCGTTCAGCTGCAGCTGTGTGAGAGAGTTGGCCCAGGACTAGACTTGGAACGTGCAGATCAGTTCAAGTCGGAAGGGATGGCCGCCTTGGCAGGGAATTGGTGCCTACATTCGCGAGTCCGAGGCAATGGTGTTGTGACGCTTGACGTTCAAGACACCGCAAAATTAAAGGCTCGGGGCTGCTGCTACAGAGAAACAGCTACTCAGTGCTGCTGTTTGCAGTGTCCTACCAGTGTTTGCTTGGCTGCAGAAAGTGCTCTTCGGTGGAGATCCCTGGCTCGTCTACTGTGGCGTGACGGCAATAACCCGTGCTTTTTTGGTCTCACAGCTGGAGCTTAGCTTGTATCCTGTGCTTTTGTTCTTTCAGGCATAAACGACGAGACTGTCAATCACCGCTTGCCACAAATTCTTGAGGCCAGAGGGTTTTGTTCTTTCTGATTCTTCTTCTTTGTTGTGTGATTGGATTTGGGTCATCGTGCAACACTCTGGACAGGAATCTGCCAGAAGTCTTTGGCGGAGCTTGGGGTGCCTCAGCTGGAACCGAAACTTAAACCTCCCGACAATCTGTGCTGTATTCCTTTTCCGCACAACATGGCGAGGATTGTTGCATGTGACAGTGCCAAACTGGATGCAAATGTCCGAACCCTGAGGGGTAGCCCAAGAGACCAGAGAACAGGAACCAGCCCCATCCTCCACCCGATGAAAGGGGCGTAGGGTGGAAGGAGAAACTACTACTGGGAGAAGGCGATCTCGTATTTCTCGGATGCAAGGAAACAGCAAAGCACTACAGCGTAGAGCAAGCAGCTGTACGCGTAGCATGCAGCGTCTCGGGGCGACAGAAAGAAACCATGGCTTTCCGGATCTTCGAGTCGGAAACATGAATTGAACAAGAAACTGAGCCCATGCATACCTGAAGCGAGTCATGATACGCGAGCGGGATACTGCTGCCGGAGTAGAAGAGTTCCCGGATCAAAGAGCGCAGAACGGATGAGTTCTCCATCTCCGTGCGATGATCCAGAAAGAGCCACCAGGGCGCAGGTGTTTGTGGACTCTGCTTTGCAGAATCGAAACAGTCCGCTTGTGCACCGTGATGAATACAGCCGAGCCAGAGCCTGGACCCAGCACGGCGGAGATCTGTTACGCCCCAATTCCCAGGCCCCGACAGAACAGATGGATGCCGCAGAAGAAAGGAGCACCTCAGCAACGGCCGTTTGGGTAACTCACACGCGAGACAGCCAGCCTGGGACGGGATGGCAGGCGGCGTGGAGATGCGATGCCAGCGGAGTGTCGCAGGGCTTGTCGGACGACAGTGGGATCCCACACGAGTGGCTGAAGCGGCAGCCTGCCAATTTACAGATATCGTGGCATTTTGCAGCATTCTACATCAGCCAAGAGTCTTGCCAAGGCCAGGTGCGGGCTGTGGCAGAAACGATTTTCGGCTTCGGCTTGGCGAGCTTCGGAACCGTTTCGGGCATGTCACCTGTAGGATGTCCTGGCCTCGCATTCACCGAGCTGGCTTTTGTCAGCAACTGGAAAAAGCGGGATCTGCTGCAGCTGTAGCATTCCAGTCCTCATGTGGATATACCGGACTAGATCGGACTTTTGTGCAGTACCAAACGTACATGAGTCCGAAACTGACATCCCAGATCTCCCACCAGTCCGTCCTTACCACTCAGCCGGCTTTGGAACAACAACTTTTCTGGAGCCTCTCTCTGATTTCGTTTTCCGGAGCTTTCTCTCTGATTCCGTTAGAGCATTTCCACCGAATGTAATGATGGCCAGCAGAACAGGCAGCGTCGGAAGTCCACCCGAGACTTGCGCAGTAATCCAGTGTAATGCTTTGCGGGGTGCTTTAGTACCAAGCCCTTCCGAACCCAAACCCTGCAGGCCAACGTGCCCGCACACCTCCCTCGACGCAAGTTACCTTACAGTAGGTGTTTCTTGTGCACATTCTTTCGTATCGGCCGCGATAAGGCACTTTGTGTGAGTGTGTGCGCGCGGTTTTTGTTTTGTTTGGTTGCTTGCTTGTTTATCTTTTTCCCCAAACAGCTTTAGCTGAGGGGTTCTTGATTTGCTTAATAGAAAAGGATTCT